TTTTACTTTTAGCTGTATCATCTGTTTAACGATTACTAAACAATTTATATGTCCAAATTACCAGTTATTGCAGAGTCACACTTTCATAGTACTCACTCAGTGCCAATGACAGAAAAATCAGGTACAGTCTATAAATTTATTTTAACTAAAAAGTGTTTACAGCTTGAATTAGGATAAAAAGATATGTTTAAATTGTAACTGTGGGAATTACATTTGGAGAAAAAATGTCATAAACAAAATGTTTAATGTGATTTTGTTGACACTGTAATAAATAGAGCAACTTACTAAGATTTTACAACAATTTAAAATAAAAAAGACTGGAATACTATAAATTGTTTCATAATTTAAGGGAAAAATGTCCCTGACCTCTATTTTTATTTAAAAATTTTGTGCTTGCTGAGTTTTATAGAACTGCTGAGTTTATGTGAAATCTTTATGTATTTCAACCAGCAGCCAATCCCATAGAATGCACAAAAGATTCTGACTTTGCTTTTCTAAACGGGCTGTTTTTAGTAAATTTATTATCAAGGAAACATTTGTTTATATTAAGAATTCCATAAATATATTTCTATTTATTGCATAATTATTTACCTGTACATTTTTGTATCTTGGAATTAAATTTCTGTTCTGAGACAAACATAGGCTTTTTTGTTCCTTAATTTTAATTTTAAGTAGTGAAACTGTCAACTTGTATGCTCATAACTGCTGTTGCACAACTTTACAGCTGTTTTATTTGTAATTTAAAGGTCACAAGGAAACGTTTTGGCATATTTTAATCAGTACCAGTTGTTATAACTATTCTGTATGCACAAATAATAAGTGAGTGAGTATTTTGATCTTCATTCTAAGGATATTTTCTAATTCCAAGCTGGATGATCACAGCAGGTGTCTTGTTGGAGCAATGATTGAAGGTTTGGCCTAATTATTAGACAGCTTCTTTAAATGGGGCAAAAAAGAGATTTAAAGGAACAGTACAATGTAAAATTGACTGTCTTTTTTTTTTAGCTTTGTATCATATTACAATGTTATCTTCTAATCAAAAACATACCTGGAGTGTTGTTTTGATTCTTTCATGCATGTTTGAGAAATCCTTTTATCTCCATGACAACCATTCAGCTGTGCAAAACGCCTGGGTGGACCTGGCTCCGCCTTCAAGTCGTAGCTCCTCCTCTGAGCTGTAGTTTTCAACCTTCTGAGCTTCTGCCTCACAGAGCAGTAAGTCTCCCACTCAGCTCCTTCAGACTAGCCAGCAGCAATTAGCAAACACCTGGTGGAACTGCACATCTGTTGAGCTCATTATACAAACTATTTTTCAGTGAAGTGGTGGTAAAAACATTGTTAAAGAGACAGAGGCCCAATTTCAAGGTGTTAAATCATTAAGTAGAATTTCTTTTAGGACATATTTGATATAAATTATATTTTTATAACAACTGAATTTAAATAGTTACTTGATTACTCTGTAAAATGGCATTTTGTACATAGAGAGCACATAATACGACCCTCTTTAGGATGTAAAAAGTTGATCATCAACACAACAAAAAAATGACCGACTCCATGAAAGGAAAGCTGATCACTGTTAAGAAAAATAAGATTGGCTATATCAGTCACAGATTTCTTTTCTTAATGTCAGAAATGTTTATTGGAAAGTCTTGAGTTGCTTGTATATAATTCTCACTTAAACAGATGAAAAGAAAAAAAGTGAAAAGGGAATATGTGTGTTTTTCATTTAGTTGCGTAATAATTCTGCACAATAGTTGCCCAGTAATTGAACACATTCAGATATTCTCCTAAGAAAGAAGGAACCTCACTTTTACTTTGACCTGCTATGTATGAAAGGTAAGGTTCAAAACCAGCTTTTTTAGGGCTCCTTGTCACTTTCAACAATTTTTCCCAATTCAACCTTTACACTCGCACTGAAAATGGCTGTGAACAGATGCACAACTGCACGTCTTTGGAAGGCACAACCAACAAGAATGCACCAAGTGGTTTCTGGGTGGTAACAACAAAACACTTGTCTTTTCAAGCAGTGGTAAAACTAGCTGGCCAAACGTTCTGGAAGTCCACTTAGGTTGCTAGGTAACGGGCTGAGCTAGGTGGGCGTTACTAGGTAACGGGTTTAGCTTCGGTTTTCGGTTTACGAAAAAATTTGGATTAAATGAGAGCGCTGTAGTTGGTGAATAATAAAAATAACCCCCGAAAAGGACTTGCCTGATTAATAAGCCCGCTCTAAAGGCAGTCAGTTTGGCTTTTGGGCATTTTAGAAGCACTAATGGTCTAAATGCTGTTTTATATCTGTTTTCTCCTCTACAGTTTGCTGATATCCCTATATAATAACTGACAATTCACAATGATTATGAGTTCACATGGCTCCTCTTCACTTTATGGTATTTTTATTTCCAGTGGTTTCCCTGCAATTTTATCTCAGTATGTTTGAGGTTGTAAGTACTGACCTCACACTGACCACGTTCTGGTTTCTGGTCTGCACAGTTTCCAATGGTTTATCTCTCTCATCATCAGCTCTGCTGTATAATCCGTAATGGGCTGAAACTTAATGATACCCTTTACCCCTCCATTACTGCCAGTCCTGACATTTAGATAGCACAGGGCTTTTATTGCGCCAACATTTGAAACAATCATAGTCAAAGGTTGTACAACCGCCTGTCAAATGTCCTGGTTGTCCTCTATCTGTAAAGAATACACAAAGGAGGCAAACAACACAAAAACATGTCAGCTCGGTACAAGGCTGGATGGTAAAACCTGCAAGTCAGAGTTACATTTCTGCGTCTCGAGATGATGTTCGGAGCTGTAAACAAGTCCACTGGGACGCTGCTGCTCCAAACAAAACCAGATGGGCAAAAACAATTCACAAAAGAACATATTCTCCAGGAAAAATTGGGACATAGGGGTTTCTTCGCTAACTAGATGCAGAAAACAGCTGGTATCAGTCTGTTTTGTTTGCGGCCCTTTCTCCCTAAAGTGGCAAAGTGAAAATTTAAGCAAAGGGTCACACGAATATTTAATCCAAAAACGATACACCTCCTCCTGCGAGCTGCAGCTTATTTTCATCTTTAATGGACCAAAAGCCAAACTGGAAAGGATTTCTTGATGTTGCAATTGGTACAATGTTTTTTTTCCCCCTTATTCATTATGGATTTATTGGAACTTTCTGGTGTTACATAAAAGCCAGGAAATAAAAGATTAACGTTTTTTAAAAGGCAGTTTAAATGAGGCCATAAAAATTCATGATATCAATTTTAATTTGCTCAGATTGCTAAACATATTTATATTATCAAGGAGAAATGTTGAAAGAAGTGCTGTTGGGCAAGAATAAGAACCAACGTTTTCTATTAACATCCATCCGCAGGGATCACCTGAACATTTCAACCAAAAAGTTCTGAACAGAAAGAAAACTTACAACAATATAAGAATATTTGAGTACTTTATTGGGATAAGTGCTTTGGAGTCCTCTGCCTTAATAAACGATATAATTAAGGTTTTTTTTCCTTCCACCTTTTCCTTCAAAACTGCCTTTAATCTTTGAGGGATATGTTCAAAAAAGTTGTGCAGTGATTTGGTCCAGTTCTTGTAGATTCTTGGTGTGAATCGTGTATTTCACCACATCCCAAAGGAGCTTAATGGGATTTAGATCTGCTGACTGTGGAGACCAATGAAACAGCCAGTTTGATGAGATATAAACATTTCGATATGCTACATGGTAGCCATCAGAAGGTTTGAATTACACCAAATTTGAAGAAGCCTGCAACTGAAGACAGAAAATGGTCCAGTCAAAGTCACCGGAAAATCTATTTTCTTTTCCATTCTGATGCTCACTCTGAACTACAGAAAGTCAGATAAGATATGTTTTTACTTATTCTTGAAAGATAAACTGTATGTCTTCTCAACAGAATTATTTAAACTTCATGGGCAACACTGAATTTACCAATCACATAATCTTTGTGCCTGTTTTTAATTGTCCCCTGCCTATTTATGCAAACATTTTTCACATCTGGGTTTTTTTTTTTTTTTTACATCTGTCATGATATGTTTATTTATAGTAAGTCTGATGAAACAACTCCCTCTGCAGTTGTCAACCCTCAGCAGCACCAATGGAAACGTCATACTTATGCATTATTAGTATAAAATAATTGAAAATACTGCACACAAAAATCATTTATGTATTTTCCCATGTGTTGTTGGGTTCCATGGCCTCTCACGTTTAATGAACACCCCAAACCTTTCCTGGATTTATTTCTTTAGAGAACACTGCCCTCTTCTGGCTATCTGCGGCAGTACATAACAAGCTTTCTAGATTCTTCTCCTGTAAATCCAATTTTATTGTTCTGATTTTATTAAATAAATATTTTAAAGCATAACATGGGTTTGTGTGGCCTGGTTTATTTTATCTAGAATTATTCGTGTTATTTATAATAAAAAAAATTAATTTGTGGCCTAACTTAGCATATTTCTACTTTTTCTCCTTTACTTCAAAATAAAGTAATACATGTTTTAGATTTTATAAAGGTACAATTTTTAATTTACAACATTCATCCATCCATTTTTTGTACACCCTTGTCCCTACTGGGGTCGGGAGGGCTGCTGGTGCCTCTCCAGCTAACGTTCCGGCCGAGAGGCAGGGTACTCCCTGGACAGGTCGCCAGTCTGTCGCAGGGCAACACAGACAGACAGTAAATTCACATAAATTACATAATGCCTATCATTTATATTTTACATTCTTGAAGTTTATTTTATAAATTATATTATCCTACATTATAGTACTTACTTTTCAAGTTATACTCTTTATTTTGCTATTTGTTTATTTTAGAATTCAGAAATACTATTTTTAAAATAAAATCAGTGTTCATAAAGTTGAAAGCAAAAAAATATAAATATTTTGCCCTTAGTTCACGGCTTATGATATTTTGCTCATCTGGTCACACCGGATGTAGCCAAAGTTCTAATGTCGTGCTTTTCGTAGAGACGCCGCCCCTCCAGATTGCTCCGTAAATCAAAACCAACGCATCCTTCTCATCACTGCGCCATCGCCTGTTGCGTTAGCTTGCTGTTCAAAGGGGGCGAATCGCTTGTGCACCAAAAAGGACGACCTAAATTGCAATTTGACCGATTTTACGAAAAAACAAGACATTTTGCTCGTACAGGTCGTGGTGAGTATTTTGTCCCCAGACATTTTTTCATTTTTCCCTCCTTTTTCTTTTCTTTTTGGATTTTTTCCACGGTGATTTTCCATTTTGCGAGTGGACAGAATGTGCTGGTTAGCTGGCTTAGCTAACGTGGAAATGCTTGTCCCCCTCAAAGACAAAAAACGCAGATTGGTTTTTTTTAGAGCCACAACATGTTGGAAGCATCTTAGATACACTTTGAACTATTTTTGCAAGTTTGCCTAGCTTTATATTTTTCTTTGACGGGACTGATTTGTTTTTGGCTCGCTTTTCAGACAGTCGGACAGCTAACGTTAGCTTCAGCTAACAGCGTCAGAGGCAGCAACATTTTAATCCCTTTCAGATTATTGACGGCATATTTATCAGAATTTTTCAGGTTTTGATTTTTTTCACAAAAACTGGTCAGATTGGTGTTTATTTTTTCGTGCCTTTTTTTTTAGTTGGTGGTTAGCTAACGCTAGCAGCGCTAGCCGGCATGGAGCGCTACCAAGGCTAGTGCAGGCCTTGTGATTCACACTTGAGCACAGAAGAGGGCGCTGTTGGTGTCCAGGCGGGTGTGTTGTTGATTGATTTGGGTTGTTTTTGTGAATCGTTGTCTTCGGACATTTTTTTTTTTCTCACTTTTTCTTCACTTTTTTTTTTACGGAGTTTTCCCCAGTTTTTCCCTCGCATGGTGATTTTTTTTTTTTTTTTTTAAAGCTTTGGATTGCAAGTTTTAACACATAACATGATAAATGCACATTTAATTAAACATGATGTATGAAAAGTGTCTTCCTTTGGCTGTTATGTGTTTCTCTGCATTCACTTATAGGTACATCCTCTTAAGGCTTCTACATTCCATCCTCATGTTTAGCATATAAATAAAAGGTTAAAAGTCAATTCATACGTAGAGGACTAAAGACCAATGGGATTGTTAGGAAATGGACCTCAGTCATTATATAAAGAATATGAAATATATCCATTCACATAACTGAGAGACTCCACTAACATGGATGCTGTTGTATAAAAATGTTGCTGCTTTTCTCTTTGTAGTTAAAAGTAATATTGTCGGTTATCTGCAGCTATTTTGTTATAAATGCAAAGTCTTTTATTTTTTTGAAATTTTTAGATGTCTCTGATCTTTTAAATCATGCTTTGTTGGAGCAAAGCACATCCAAGACCTGCAGGACACTGGCTGATCAGTTCCACAGTTGCCCATCCTTAATATTTTTGCAGCATCTTTACACTTTAGTGATTTCAGTGTGTATGAAAAATTTAAAAACTCATTAATAGTTGGTTTTACTAATGGTTTGCTTTGATGGAAGATATTTGAACATTTTACTGCTCGAATAAACAGATTTAGTCAAAACTTATTAGATTTAAAGTAGTTGGTGTTATATAATGTAATGTTTTTGTGTCTTAGATTGATTTCTTAACCCTTTTAATTTAGATTTAAATTGATACTGCCTAGCTGTAGCTTTAAGGCACATTAAGCACCTATTTTTTGGGTGCTATATGTTCTGGAGTTCCTGCACACACTCCGTCCAGCCCAGGTAAGATTTGGTGAACGATAACCCTGCCCAGCTTGACTGAGGATGTGTTTTCTGTCGCCTCAGTAAAAATTGCCAGGGGGCGAAGGTGAAGGTCCAGACACCAGCCCAAACTGAGCCCAGCCCACAGTGTCAAACGTCAGGCAGACGAGATCCCCGCACACAGACGCTATGGAGTGAGTGAACGTTGAATAAACCCCCCCCCACTGCGCTTTCCTTCTCTATCAGCAGGAGGGGGGCAGAGTTACTGTCCATATCACTGATGTTTTCACGGTTCTCCACCTGCAAACAGCAAAAATCCGATCTTAGGAGCGGCAAGGCCATAAAAATATACAATAAAATTTCTCACGGGTAACATTTAAGCTGCTCTGCATAACTTCCTTGTGTGCGTCCGCTTCACATATTTACTTTAAAAGCTTTCTGTTTCTCCATGTGAGGAACTGCAGCGTGTGTTCGGTTGGGTTAGAGGAACATGAAGCGTTTAGGCTGCGTTCGCATGAGAAAATGTGCACAGAAGAAGCGTTGTTAAATAATGGTTGTCCATGTTTAGTTTTTGCATTAACCTAAAGAAGTCCCTGCTTCCTCTTATGAAATTATTTGCATGTTTGGTGCTTTATATCTGTTTTGCAAGTCACATACCTTCATGTGGTTTTAATTTAAGTTTCTGAGGCCTGATGATGATTTTTTTCCAGTACAACCAGTGCAGCAGGTTTAATAATGAGAATTCAGAATTGTTTGCATGAGTGAACCGATTCAGAGCAGCTGAACAGCCAGAGATGTATCGATCAATACTTACCTACAAAGATGGATGTAGTAAGAAGATTTTAAGGATTATTAATTGAGTCATAGAAGATTTTTCTGGATAGTCTAGAAAGAAAAAAAAATATATAAACAAAGTTTTTGCTTTTGGTTTATGTGTTTAGACCAAAAATACTGGACGTTTTTAATTAGTAAACAGGGCAAAGTATCAAATTTTGACTAATTGATCACAAATTAGAGAAAATAAAATGTGAATTATCAGATTGATTGATGCATCTCTAGAGAACTCCTTTCATTTCTAGATTTCTGCTCCACAGAAAGCTGTTTGAAGCCTAACTACTCAGACTTTCAGAGGACTGAAGCGTCTCTCATCCTTCGTGAAAATCTCAAACCTTCGTATCCGTTTTGTCCGTCTTTCTCTCTCTCTCTTTCCGTCAGACGTTCATCCTCCACTTCCAGCCTCATGGCCAGCAGCAACGTCACCAACAAGACCGACCCGCGCTCCCTCAACTCCCGGGTCTTCATCGGCAACCTCAACACCCTGCTGGTCACCAAGGCGGACGTGGAGGCCATCTTCTCCAAGTATGGGAAGATCGTCGGCTGCTCCGTCCACAAGGGCTACGCCTTCGTTCAGTACGCCAACGAGAGGAACGCCCGGGCCGCCGTCACGGGCGAGGACGGGAGGATGATCGTCGGACAAGTTCTCGGTGAGGACTTTAGCTTCTACTAAACCTGAGGATTAATGTAAAATACTTCGTTCGTACCTAAAGTTTAGCCAAACTTTATTGATCTCAAAGGGAAACTAGGTGTTGCAACTCACATCATCAGAGTTTCTTCAATGTGTCGTCGTTTGCAGGAAGGATTTCCAGTAGCAGTCAGTCTTACCACAAATCTGAGAACGCCTGAAACCTGCTACTGGGACGCTCTCGTGACTTTCATGACATGCTAACAGCTAAATGTTAGCCAGCATAGACGATACTCCATAGTAGCATGTTAGCAAGCACTGCTAATCCACCCCGTTTGCTTTTGCCACTCTTCTTTAAATCATTGTCTGGCTGTGTGGTTTGGACTCGGCCTAAAGCGACTAATCGGTAATTAAAATAATAATCATCTAATTTAGCAATTGATTCATCGTTAACTGGAGTAAACATATTTAAAGCTATACTGAAGCCAAAACTTTACAAACATATTTAATATAATAAAAAAATAAATATCAAACATATTTAATATAATAAAAAAGGCGTTCGTTAAGGGAATGCTAAGTTATTGCATTTTAGATAACAAAATGTTTATTTTCTTATTTAAAAAAGGAACAGAATTATGTATTTTCCAATTTTGTGTGGTTAAATGAGAAGGCACCAATTTATTTATTTAAATCCAATAATGGATAATAATCAATTACTGAAATAATTGAGCTACTTCTTTCTCTGCTCTGCATTCATAAATACTTTTTTCAGTTCTGCAGGGACTTGGAGTCGTAGTTCAGATGTTATTTGAGCTTTTTATTTGCTGATCAGCTGCTTCTAGTTGTAAAAGCAACACCTTGTTGCCACGGTCACGCATCTGACTCTGAAAGTTAAACAGAAACTAAAACAGCACAAGTCCTTCCAATTTCACAACATTTAAGACCAAAGGGAATAATTCTCCAAACATGGATCGCTTCAACGACAAAAAAATATCCATAACAAAAGTCTTTAATAAGAATAGAGCGAATCCGACATCCTGCTGCCATGTTTTCAAACTCTTTTAAGCTTAATTGAAAAAATTTATTCCCGGTTATAAACCAGGATTTGGGTCCCTTTCTTTCAAATTGATTGCTATATTTAGCAGAAGTTAATGAATTAAATAAAAGCTAATTTAGGTCAGATTTTCAGTAAAAGTCTCTGGATTTACTTATAAAAGTCTGGTTATAAAAACACAAACAATTTGTGTCAAACTTATAATTATAAGCAGTAATTTTACCCTGATTACAAATAAATGTTATAATAAATAAAATTGGATCATCTTTGAACTGCAGTAGGGGCCCCAAAAAATTAATCCAAGGGCCACAAATGGCCTGCGGGCCACGCATTGGGCACCGCTGCCTAACGCAGAGCAGCTATGAAGGAAAGAGCTTTTACTTTTGTTGAAAGTTAGAATAAAATTATTCATTGTTATTTAGAAAATTAGAAAAAAAAGGTTTTCTGTTTTCGGTGTAATCATGCTATACTTATTTTTTTAAGTCATTGAGATCATAATTATTCTGACAGTGCAAAATTAATAAATACATAGATAAATCTTGTTTTAAACCTTAAAAGGTTCCTAAAAATATTTTTTATTAAAGGAAATTAGATAATAGACATCAGAGAGATATATAAATCTTTTATCATGATTTGTAAAAATCTTTAGTTGCATTTCAGTAAATAACCTCCTTGCATTAAATTGGAGAATTTTTGCAGGCTGAATTTTAAAGAAACAAACAAATGTTTTTCTTGTGTGACTTTATGAGCCGTTTCTTCTTCTTTGTAGTAGATTTGAAGGTTCATTTGTAGATCTATTGTATTAAAAAAAAAAGATTATATCCAACAGGAAGATATCTCTGTATAGGGATAGAAAAATGACTGATGACTATAATTACATAATGCAAAAACTGTGGTATACATTTGTACTCGGTTCCATTGAACTCTCACAGCCAGGAGAGTTATGAGAGTAAAATGATAGACGAGCTGCTTTTTGACCATTTCACAGTAAGGGTGTTCAAAGTGGGGTTTGAGAAAACTGATTTGTTTTCTTCCTTTTTTTTTTCTTTTTTTTTTTTTTGTAGTCCTCAATTCAGGAATTAATTAGGACAAAATTACAACTTTTAAATCAAAATCTGCTTAGACAAATGTTGGATGCAACACAGTGATCATCTTTTTTCTGCTTTCCTTCCGTTGTCATGGTAACAAGGACCACATCTACTCTAAAGTCCACTAAATCTGCTTTTAATTACTGTATTAAAACTTTAAATATATAAAGTGTATTCAAATTAAGACTTTATTGCTGACGAAATATTTATTTCGGATTTCTTCAGTTGAGCCCAAAATGCAAAAAGTATTTGAAGTTTTGAATCTAGACTCTTGTTCTTATATAAAAAAAAAAATCATGGTTAATTAAAATAGTTTATGCTTATTTCAGCAAATTTAAAAAAATCACAACATTTTTGGTAATTTTTAGTTTGTAAAACTTACAGTATATTTTCACAAAGTTTCAGGCTTCAGATTTGCAAAGCTCATAGACGTGTAAACAAAGTATTGACAAATAAAAATGCTCACCACACTTTTAAGATCTTTTTTTTCTGTAGGGCAGAAAACAAGGCATCCCTTTCCTGCAAATTACACATAAAGTCCTTTATTATTTGTGTTTTCAGTGAGAGAATATTGTGGGGAAAAAAATCAAGGATTTAGTTGATTTTTGCAAGGGACTCAACGTTTGTCATGATAATCTTGAAATGCAACAAACACTTTTAAAACTTGGATTGCAGCAGAGTTTGGTTTAATTAAATTCTGCCTTGCATTATTTTAGATCTATGAATTTAACTAATTTGACTTTTTTTAATCTGAAAGGAGCAAATTGCAAAACTTAAAGCTGGATTAGTAAACACTTTATTACACATGGCTGAAAATTTTTTATCTTAATGAATTGTTCGTTTCAAGCAATGCAGCTATGTTTAAAATGTAAGTGTACTATTTAGGTGAAAGTTCTTCTTGTTTTGTCTGAAAGGTGTTTCAATCGTCACTCCGCTTCATGATCCGCTCTGTGTCTTTTACCTCAGACTGTAACCTCGCCGGAGAACCCAAACCGCACCGGTCAAAAACCTCCAAACGCTCGGCTGGAGACATGTACAGGTCGGTGTCTGACCAACAAACGCCGCCTTTAGCTGATGCAAAGATGACAAACTCTTTTTAAAAGAGGCTTGGAGAAACACTCTGGGAATGCGACGCGTTTACATATTTTCACCGCTTTGTTTATGTTCTGCCTTGCAGTAGTTCTTCGTTTGACCTCGACTATGATTTTCAAAGAGACTACTACGACAGGTGAGTGAAAACCGTCTGGAAAAAACTATCACTGAGCGCCTCAGTCAACACCAGCGTGATTTCTGTTTCGTTTCTTTTTTTTTTCTGTGTGGTTCCAGAATGTACTCGTACCCGTCTCGCGTCCCCGCGCCGCCGCCGCTGTCGCGGGCCGTGATCCCGTCCAAACGCCCGCGGGTCAGCCTGAGCGGCGGGAGCAGCCGGCGGACCAAGAGCAGCTTCTCCTCTTCATCAAAGAGCAGCCAGAGGACTTCGTCGTCCAGAACGAGTCAGTGCTCCCACCGAAAAAACTTCAGTTCCTAAAGAACATTCATCACTGCAGCTGGAAGACATTTAGATATACAGAATACATAAAACAACAAGACAACATGGTTCAGGAATATAAAATCTGAAATTTTCCATTAAATTTCTGATATCTATAATTTTTTCCAAAATAGAAACTATCAATGACAGAGAATATTTTCCAAAAGTGACTTTTATTTGATTAAAAATAAAATCCTGATTTTTTAAAAAAATTTTTTGCCGTACTATTTCCGATTTCAATCTATTTTTTTCTGAAATAGAAATAAGAAGTGACAAAATATTATTGAAAAGTGATTTTGTTCTTTAATCATCCCTTATGCTAGTTGTACACAGAGTTCTGATCGGCCTGTTGCAACAAGCAATAAATCAATTAATGCATGATAACTTAAAACAAACTCAATAATTGACATTTAAATGATTGATTGTTGTTTTTGTGTCTCTTTGTTCCAAATATTGAATTCAGATCAACTTTATGACGAAATATTACGGCCAGGCTAAGTTTATTTTTGTTTAATTCTAAATAAAGTCTAAATAGAGACGAAAGCGTTAATATTACCAGAATAAAGTCGTAATATTAGCAGAATAATGTAGTAATACTGAGAACTCCTTCATGAAAACTAAAAAAATTTAAATGTGTAATATTGAGTCAAGTTTTGCTTTATCGGTACTCAAGAGCAGCGATACTTCATAATAAACTTACTGAAGTAAAAATACTCCTAAAAGTACCTTTTTTTCCCCCCAAGAAAGTTACTAAGGTAAATGTAAAAGAGTAAATGTAACTAGTTACTACCAACTCTGGCTACAAATGATCAAGGGAATAATAAAGCAGTGCCATGTTGTTTCATTTTAAGCAACAAAATGCTTGTTTTCTTATGTTAAAATGAATTTGTTTTATTAATATTGTGCAAATAGGCTTCAATGGTTAAATGAAAAGCCTGCAGAATGTGCTGCTTTTTTATCTTATAGTCAGAATAACTGATAAAATATTAGTCTCTGGTTCAACTGCAGAACAGAGTTTAATCTTTTGTTTCCGTGCAGTGAGGGTGGACGAGCTGCAGACCATCAAGCGTGAACTGTCGCAGATTAAAAGCAAAGTGGACGACCTGCTGGAGAGCCTGGAGCGAATGGAGAAGGACCACAGCAAGAAGTCTGGTACGACGGCGACCGTTTCCACCAGAATACGGCCGTTAAGCTGATCTGATGCTGCAGGTTTTTAGTGAATTCACATTTTTGATGTGTGTTTTGTAGCAAAGAGCATAAAGCCAGAGCCGGGCGAGGTGACCTCACCGCCGCACTCCAGCAGCAAGAAGAACGACGGCATAAAGAGAGAGAGGGAGAGCCAGGACATGAACAACTCGGATGAGGAGGAAGAGGACGACGATGATGAGGAGGAAGAGGAGGGAGACCTGCTGGAGGAGGAAGAGGTGAGAGCGGTTACCTGCTGCGGCCTAAATTACTGATTTTACTTAAACTTTTTCAAAAAGTTGCTACTTTTTTTTCCAAACTTTATTTTGGTTTCTCAAAAAAAGTTGAAATTGTTGCACATAACTTTCCCAAAAAACGCAGAATTTCAACACAATATTTAGAGGACAAATTACATTTTCAATTGCCTACCTGAAATGACATCCTTAATGCATCGTAAATACAGTACCCCATACTGGTCATTCAAGTTACTGTATGCACAATAAAAACAAATCCTACTGAACATGTAAAAACGGCTTTTACAAAAAATAAAAAGCAAATGTTACCATTTAGCATCATACATGTTTTCATATCGGAGGTTCGGCCTTCAAGAAATGTCATGGAGCAGGAATTTAATAGACGTCTATTTATCACTAATAAAAGTGACTTCTTCTAGAATTTGGAAATTATAAACAAGGATGAGCCAGATTAATGAAGGTCCACAATTCACTTTCTAATATCTTGGCTAGTAATTTGGATTTTTCTGACATTAAACAAAGGAGCAGTGCAACTGAAATGTTAATAAAAATGTTACTCTTTGTTTTTCCCACATTCTTTAAAAAGGCATAATACTCTTTTGTGTCTGCATAAAAAGTTATGAAAGTTTGACAGTAGTAATAATACGAAAAGTCGTAATAGTACAAAAAGTCGCAATAATAGTGCGAAATGTCAGAATAATAGTGCGAAATGTCAGAATAATAGTGCGAAATGTCGGTATAGTAGTACGAAATGTCAGAATAATGGTGCGAAAAGTCGTAATTCTAAGACAACTCGAACACAACAAAATATTTCAGATTAAAATGAGGAATATCTGACATCTTGTGAAGTTATACTTCAGGACCAGTTTTACAAATGACATTTTTTTTAAATCTTTTTACACATCGGCATCAAAGTATTATCAGCAGGACTTTGAGGCGATTTTTCAAATGTCTTATTTACGTCAATTTCAAAGAAAGAACCTAAAAAATTGCCAAGCTGATTACGTTATAGAAGCTTAATCTAACTCTACAGAATATATAAACTTCTGAATTTAAAAAAAAATCACTATTATTCTGGCTTTTAGCAATATTTTTTATCCTGAGTGTTCAAACAGAAAAAGTTTAGTCTGATTTACTGTATTTAAGTTGAAAGTATGTTATGATTTTTAACTTTTTAGTAGGTTTAATGTTGCAGTTCTGCTCTCAAATCCATCAGGTCAAGAGTCAGGAGAGGGAGGAAGAAGAAGAAGAGGAAGAGGAGGAAGGCGAACACGTGGAAGGAGACGAAGATGATGGCGACAGCGTGAATGGTGACGACGACTCGTAGGCGGAGACTCGGCGCTGCTTCCAGAAGGAGCTCCGACTCCTGTTTTAACACTCAACGTTGTAGATAGAAACACAAGTGTGCACGAAAACACAAGCATGGTGCGCACACCTTACTGTCATGTTGTCCCTGAAGATTTCCTTTTAGTTTTCATTTAGTTGTCCAGTATTACTGTAACAGGAATATCTAGCTGTAGGTTTGTGTTTAGTTTTTTCTCTTCTCGTCTTCGTGTGGAGACGGGAACATGGACTAATAATGTTCTCAGAGACAACAGCTCGATGGACATCTCTTAAAGCGAGGACGAGAACTCAGCCACAGATTAGTTTTTAGCTTCTGCGTGTTTTTCTTCCTCCTCAGTGAGTTTCTTTGACCTTGTGTGTATGTTCATGTCAGTTTTTTATATATATATAAATATATAAACACACTTTTTAGTTTAACTGTAAAGAAATAAATTGCAATAAAACATTAAAATAAAATCTGAGCCTTTATTTTGCCCAAAAATCTGTTTTTATTAGTTCAATGTGACTTTGAAAAGCTAGAATTGGGGAAGCAAACAATCAAATTGCCCTTAGTAGTTTGTTTAGATTAAAATGAGTTCAAATCATTAATTAATAACGTCCGCTTTGACTGCCTTTCGTTTTTGTTTGGCCTCCATCCAGGAGGAGGCGATACTAATATTTCAGGCAAGAAGATAAACAGAAACGGAATGATTTTTATGCGATTCTGTTTCGAAATATAAACACTCTACAAGATCCTTAAAGACTCCGCCCATTTCAGTTTTCTTTATAAACACTTAACTTTAACTGTAAAGAAACTAATTGCAATAAAACATTAAAATCAAACCATAGACTACTTGAGTTTCCTTTAGCTTTAAACTGTTAAGCGTGACTTTGTAAAACTAGAATTAGGAATACAAACAATTATTAAACATTGATTAATGGCTTGTTAAATTAAAATGAGTTAAAATATATTAACTAATGTCCGCTTCGACGGATATTTTAATTAGTTGCAGTGTTGTTTGGCCGCAATCCAGCAGAGGGCGCTGCTGTTCATCCTTCGGTCAGCCAGAAGAGAAACAAAGATGGCGGAGGGCGAAAGAGAGAAGGTCCGAACAGAAACGAATGCTGTGTATGCGGTTCTGTATAGAAATAAAAGCTCCTTAAAGAATATGTCAAGGTCAGTTTATATGTATATACAAACATATAAACATACTTTTTAGTTCAACTGTTTAGAAATAGGTTGCTATGAAATTGTTGAGGGCGAGGGCCCCGCTAGTCATCCTTCAGAGACAAAGATGGCGGAGGCCACATCTGTTAGCAGGTACGAAACGATCCAAATGGTGTGGAATTTAAAATGCGTTTTATGTGGTTCTGTTTAAAATGTAAACACTCGACAAGCTCCTTAAGTTGTTCATGACACTATAAAACCAAGATATTAGAAAGATAAACTGTTCTTTCTGCTTACAGAAGCTTTTAAGTCTCAGTTTTCTTCTGTAGTGAAAATGGCCACTTATCAATGAATCGTAATGCGATCGATAAGATCATTTAACTTTTGATTAAGTCATTAACCTTGAATCAACTAGAATGGGATACTAATTTCCAACTTTCAGTGTCATTCACTTTCAATCTTCTTGTGAAGGTAAACTTAGTGAAGATATGCTAAGGTCTCACGACATAAAACAGGTTTGACATGTTAATGGAACTTAACAAATGCTGAAGTACTGAAACCTGTTGAAAAGAAAACAATGGAGATGTTTAAACATTCTCCACACTTCCTGATGTACCTGTTAGGCTTCCAGTAAAGGATTACAATGAATATTTATGTTAGTACCTATAAAATAGAGGGTGGTGTAAGAGCAGAAATGGTTTCGAAACGCATCTGTCAAAAGGTATCATTGAACATTTTTTAAAACTTGTCCTATTTTTCTCATTTGTGTTTTTCCACCTACTAAGCTAAGTTACAGGTCCAGTACGTCAAAAATACAAGCGAATATTCCTTTTAGCTTTTATAACCAAGATAGGTTGCTATTATTAAGCCCCAAAACAAATAATACATTGTTTGGTAGAATTGTACAGAAACTATTGTTGCACAATGCCCTCTGTTGTGCAATTATTTAGAGTTATTAAATCAAAGTTTTCATGTATTCTAATCAGTGGTGCAGGTGCCTGAAAACAGTCCAGCAGTATAGTATTTTTTTAAAAGAAAATAAGGCATCGAGTTTGCTTAAGAAGGTTAGAATCAGATGATAAATGTCACAAACTAGAAAAAACATTTTACTATCTGATAAACTTATTGTTTTTTTTGCAAAGATATGCTTTGTATCCAGCTACAACTTCTATCACCCAGAGAACATTTAAAGGGTTAAAAGACTAATAAACTAATAAACAATACAAGATGTAGAGAAACTCACCCATGCGTTTATCTTTCGTTGCATTGATTACTTTAAAATACTTATGTTAGTTTATAAATCACTGAGTGGTTTAACACTAAAATACATTAAAGTTCTGTTGTATGAAACTTTCAGACAGCTCAGGTTTTCTGGTTCTACTCTGCATCCCCAGAACCAAACATGGAGAATTTACCATTGAGTTTTTATGCTCCTCTGATCTGGAACTATAACTTAATAATAATTAGTTTTATTAATAAAAGTTGAAACATAAAGTCTGGATTACAGCTTTGCATTACTTCTATTTATATTGCTGCAGTAATGTAATATTTTAGTTTTATCGTGTAAAGCACGTTGAGGTGTTTTTGTTGCTGAAATGTTTTATACAAATTAACTTGACTAAAATGAACAATCGGGGCACCGCAGGGCTCCGTGTTCGAGCACCTGACATATTAATGAGTAAAAGTCAGAGACAAGCAGGTAAGACATTAATCCATATATTTGGTGATGATAAAACGTAACTGCACTTATTTAAATACATGCACAAAAATATTAACATTTAATGTTTATTGTCAAAAAATACAGTTTATTAAGAAAAACGATAATGTGGTTATCAACATTTTCTCCTGATTTTTCCGTTGTCCCTTGCTAAATGTCTCAAACTTTCACATTACGTTTCTTACACATCTCGAAGCGAAGCAGAGTGCTCATAAATATGTGCTTTGTCATTTTATCAGTGTTCAACCACCTTTCATATCTTCTCACATACCAGCAAAAGGCATCAACTTGTACCAAGTGGCTTGTTTCCTTTAGTCGTACCGTGACAGCTGGAGTGTTTGACGATCAGATCCAGAATGTTTGTCGACCTCCAACGAGATTGAAATCTTGCTTTCGATTTAGTCGTTTTTCTGGTGTAGTGAGTTCTTCTGGTTTCTTCTGGCTAACCGACAGATAACTTAATCTACTTAATGAAAACAAGACAATCCTGAGCTGGGATGGGCTCCCATTAAGATGACAGATTTAATAAACAGACGAGACCTGCTCACATTTCATTTCACACAGTAATAAAAGCATTTAAAGATAGTAATTGTATCAATAGATATGTTTACATTATTAAAAAATATATACCTTAGATCACCAAAAGGTTTGCAGAACCTGAGCTATTAGTTTCTTCATCTTGTAAGTGTTTAGAACAAACAGTGCAAAATATAATCTATACATCTATGAATTAGTTTTGTAAAAAGACTTCATAAACAACATGACACTCGGTTTTTGCTGCGTTTTAAAGCAGCACCCTTCACTGTGTCTTTGTGGGGTTATAACAGCTTCTTCTTCTCTGTGTTTGATCAGGCGAACGTCAGGATGGACAGTGTGAGGAAGCTGACCAGAGGCAACACAGCTGGAGGAGAAAGACAGAAAGACGTGTTAATTAGAGAAGGAATTAAGGCCTTAAAATGTCTTAAATTCATTAAAGAACATGTGAGTTGGTCTTTAATACACAAATCACAGGTCTTAAATTGTGTTATGTCAGGTCTAATCTTGAGTCGTGGGAATTTTCTGTCAGGAAAAGGTTTGACATCTTCATTGCGTGACTCAAGATGGTTAAAGCTACCGCTAACTAGCTGCTAATACTTGCTATCTTGCTAGCATTTTTGGGTCTGTCGTTGCTAAGCTGCTGCCAGGTGCTACAAAAAGAGCCATTTTTTTACATTTCTGTCATGATATGGGTCTTAAATTTTATTCATAATGGTCTTTAAAAGTCTTAAATTTGAGATGGTGAAACCTGCATAAAGTCTGATCCCTGTGGAGAGTATTCATATGTATTATTTGTAACATCTTTGGATGTTAGGTATCTTCACAAAACATTATTTTGAATGTAGGAATATGTAGATCTAAATATTAATTAGCTCAGTGTGTAGCTTACCACTAGAATAGAGAGGATAGCTGCCCCCTGTTGGTGCTGCTGTGGTGTTTGTTGTTGAGTTTAGGAAGGTGGAAAGATCTGTAGCATTACCAACTTTAAAAGAGAGGACGGCAGGAAATACACCTGAAAGAAAATCATTCTTTTTAATTCATGCCTCAAACATGCAAATTTCTATCATTTACTAAACTGTAAACAGCTAAACACATAAACATTGTATACACAATGCAAAATGACAGTGTTTGTTTTTATATTTGTGCTCTTACCTCCAATGAGTTGTCCAGATGTGATGACCATTTTGTAGGTGGTATCGGCGGCGGCCCTGAGTGCAGCGTCGGTGGTGGTATTCAGACCAGCGACGTTAAACGTACACTTGAGGTTGTCACCAGCGATGGTGTTTTGAACATCTGTCATAGCCTGAAGATTTGAAGTCAGAGTCATAAATGCTACTCCATAAAGATCTAGTAGATACATTTTAAGTTAATAAATGCGGATCACATAATATTTTGTGAGTTGTGAAAACTCTTGCTTTCCTTTTTAGCATAGAAGTTATTTCGTTGATGTAATTTTACAGATGTAGGAACAACTGGATGCTGTAAGTTAAGTCTTACCTTCGTCGCTACTGTATCGTTCAGATTTTTAGTGGCGTTGTTATAAACCGTTGACGTGCTGAAGAAAGACCCGTTGTTTGAGCTGTTTTGAGCACAGACAAAAAGCATGGTGTTCTGTGGAGAGAAGCAATGCAACATTTCAGTCAGAAATTATGAATATTGTACAAAGTTATGACTTTAAGTTGTCTTCAGTTTAGCTTACTGTACACCATCATTCGTCATAATATTTACGCCGCCTAATTTTATTAAGCTGAACACAGTAAACTAAGCCGAGATAAATTAAGTTCATGCATCTAAAGTAAACTAAGCTAAGTTAGGCTAAATGCAGCATAAATAAATTGAATCAAGCTAAAGTAAGCTTAGCTTAGCTAAATTATGATGTTAGTTAAGACTATTTGATTGACTTTCATCAGGAATATTTCCGCTCAGTTTCAAAATTAATGTCATAAAGTCAGACTAAGCTAAAGTAAAACTCGCTAAACTAAGCTCAGTGTTATTTAGTGACAGCTAGCAACTATTATAAAAATAAGAATAATTTTAAAATGTAAAATTGCAGTTTTAACCAAAAAGTAAAAGGTTGTTTCTATTTCGTAGCTGTTTGATTTTTAAATAATTAAACCCTTAATATTTACATTTTGTGTCTGGGAGTCTACACTTCTCATATATTATGCATATTGTTAAGCTAACTAGCAATATTTTGTATCTCCCTGTTTTTTCCCCAAACATTTATTCAGAATAACTTTTGACTGTAATAATAATTACATGTTTTACCTGAGATTGGCTCGTGGTGAGACCCACGGCGATGAATCCCGAAGAGTTCACAGACTTCCCACTGATCTCAAAGGCCAGGTCGACGCCATTTGGGGGGTTCAACTTTGTGGGGCGAGCAGATCCAAAAAGACACGTGGTGGTGTTGTCTGCAGGGTCGCAGGCATCAGGTTGCTGCACGCACGCTTTGGTTGAGCCACATCCTGTTTTAGAAATGACAACCTGGAGACAAAAACAAAGCCAGAGTCAATAAACAGTCAAGAGATTCTTTAACTTCCTTGTTCTGGTGGAGCTTTAATGTGAAGATTAGATGCCATTTCTGTGTTAATTACATTTAAAAATCAGATTCTGTTTCCGTTTTCTTGCTTAGCCACTAAAACTTCTGTGTCAAAGCTAATGGGTAACTTCCTTCTGTCGTCTTAAGCTCCCAGTAAACTATCGGTTACAGTTTAACAAAACCAAACCAAAACATTTTGAGCTTTTGTTTGTTTCCCCAAGTCTTTCTATTTGTCCTCTGAGTTTTTAAAGGTTATTCAAACAGCAAAGCTTTTAAAAATGTCCAACAAATCTAAGAAAATTTGTTAGTAAGTTGGATTTTAGACATTTTTGTAAGTTCAGCACTGCAAAAACACAAAATGTTGCCAAATATTTACTTAGTTTCTAGTGCAAATATCTTAATACACTTGAGATAAGACAAGTAACTTCAGCGAGAAATAAAAATTATTTTTAAGTGAATAATTCCTTAATATTTATGAAAAAACACTTGTTCCACTGGCAGATAAATTCATTTATTCATTAGTGGAATAATCTAATAATGACACCTTTTCATCAATATTAAAGATTTACTTAAAACAATCTTACATCTTGCTGAAAGGTTTTCTATAACTTAGTTTTGTCTTTTTTAAAATGTATTAAAATATCTGAACTGGAAACTAGACCAAAAATTAAATTAGGTAATATTTTGTGTTTTTGCTGTGAGATCTTTTTATCTTGTAAGTACATAAAAGTTGTTGGTAATAAAGTAGATTAAAGTATTAACACTACAATAATAATAATAGTAAATACTAACCTGTGACAGGACTGGCTGGAAACTGAGAGCCAGGAAAACCATCAGTGTGGCGAAAGCCTGCATCATCTTATGCTCCATTTCTGCCTGGAAAATATAAATATTTATACAAATCATGTTAAAAAAATTTGTTTTGAGGATTTTTATCTTTTAAAAAACATTCAAATGGAACATTTAATTTTGCAATATGTTTTAACTTTGCATGAACAATTGAAATTTAATCAGGTAGAAAATACATACGATAGAAAAAAGATAAGATTTATGTTGTTATTTCTGTTCTTTTTCACAGAAATACAACAGAAATACATAAATAAATCTTACTTAAAGAGGTTTATAAAATTACTTTGACTAAATGTATGTCTTCTGGTTTACTGAAAAATGATCAGATTTAAAGTTTTAATGTTTAAATAAGTAGAAAAACCCAAACCGGTTTTTGTAAAGAAACATAAAGTAAAGTCTTGACTTACTGGATGTGAAGGTTGGTTCAGTGAGGAGTTGTTGGCAGCTGGTGCTCTGGGGTTCTGTTCAGTGGGGGAAGCTGATGGCGCTTTTCTACAGCCACCTGGAAAGGGGCGGGGCTTAGCAGAAACACCTGTCTGGGTACCAGGATGACACAGGTGCGCCTTTGTTTTATTTTTTTGTCAGTGGAAAAAAAGGTTTCTGTGGAACGAGTTTGACCACTGAGGGGATTTTTGACATTCATTAGGCAGATGAGACATTCAGCTTTAGGTTGTACAATGAGTAGAGTTTTTTTAGTGTAATGTTACAGGATCTCAACTGGATTTAACTAGGACACTTCTAGGACACCTTCATTTGCTCCTTCAGCAAAGCAAAAACACAAAATATTACCAAGTATTTTTAGTTTAGTTTATAATCCAAATATCTTAGTACACTTGAAATAAGATAAAACTCACAATAAACCTAATAAATATAGGAAATTGTTTTAAGTAAATGATTAATGAAATACGTGTAAATAATCTGTCAGTGGAACTAGTTTTGTTATCAATTTTAAAGAATTATTTACTTAAAACAAGCTCCTTTGTCTTTCTGAAAAGTTATTTACAAGTTATTTCAAGTGTGATAATTTGTTTGTACAAGAAACTAGATCAAAGATAACTTGGTAAGTTTTTCTGTTTTTGCAGTGTAGTGTCAGTTTGAAATGCTTTGTTAATTTTACCAAACTTTTTGTCACATAGACCAAAATAGGCAAGTCAAAATCATTGGCAGGTTGAGAAAATAAACAGAAAAAACAAACTAACATTTTTGGAAACTGATGTTATTTATTGTAAAAAATAAAACTTAAAAAGAAATTTCTTTTAAGTTTTGTTGTATTAAAAGAAAATAACCTAGTTTTCAAATTATTTTAGTTTCGGTTGAATACGTTTATTCTCAGTTGTTAAACCGTATTTCGTCCATTTTATTTCGAAATTCTCGCTATGTTAATCCAAGTTTAGTAAATTAAATAAAAGCAAAGAAGGATTTTCAGTAATAGTTCTACTTATAAAAAGGATACTTTAAATATTTACACAAACCTGTTTTCAGAAAATTGTCAAGTCAATCAACTATTCCATTCCTACAAAAAATGTTTTCTGTTGTAAGAAAATTATGTTGGTAATATTTTCAGCCTAATTAAACGTTTAATAAACAGGTTTGTATCATTCTTGAACTGCAGATGTGGGCCACAAAAAATATTTCCAACGGCCACAATTGGCCCACGAGCCACACTTTGGACACCCCTGTTGTAGATGAAACAGGATGTACGTCTTTCAAACCATTTTGTCTCTTGTCTTTTTGACCTTCTGGATGAAACATTGATGCACTTTTGAAGAAATTTTATTGTTATCATCAGATAAAACCTGAAAATACATAAAAATGTAACTAAATGTGTTTATTGCATCATAAAATTGGAAATTGTTTAAAATAGGAATCATAAGATCTCAAGAAAACCAGGAATTGTTATCAGCCTGGAGAACCCGGATTGGAGCGTTTATATTATGAAGCAAGTTTTTTATTACCTGAGATTTTAACCTTTGGGCCAAAAAATATAATTCCTAAAAGCTAAAATCAACAAAATGGTTTGGGGATTTATTTTTACCTACTCAACAACAAACTAACAAATAAGATTTTTTTATAGGATTTCTTGTAAGAATGGAAATGTAGATCCAAAATGTTTAATTGGTTTTTAGACGGTAACTTGTTAAATCAAAGGCATCCAGTTTGCTTTTTATTTTGGGCTCCATTGAAAAAAAGTGAACAAACTATTCCATCTATTGTCAGCAATAAGAACAGAATCTAGGTCAGTCATCATTTGAAACACTACATTTAGCCAAGTTTAAGGTTAGTAGTTAAAATCACATTTTGGATTAATTTAGAGTCCTAGTTACCACTACAACAGAGGGAATCCAGAAAGTTTGGAAAAGATTAACACTTTGTCCTGCGTCTTACATTTTATAAGTAGATTTTAAAAGTCAGAGTTTTGTACTAATTTAATTAAATTTATTCTTGAAATGTGACCACAAAAGTCAGTCCAGTGGCCGCAAATTGGCCCACACGCCCCACTTTGAACACCCTTGCAGTAAAGTCTTTTAAAAACACGTTAATACAGACCCATTCAATAAATTATAATGTTACTGAAAAAAATACACTTATGTTTGAACCTTCACCAAGTAAAAACAAATAAAATAGATTAATTAATTGGGTACAGATGTTTTCAAGCCTTCGTTTCTGCCAATTATGTTGATTTTCTGCTAAACAAGACATTTTAAATTAGAATATTAAGTCAAACTTGTTTTAAAAACAGAAAGTTTAGTTTAGAAACTACAAGGTTAATCTAAAAGTCATAGCTTTGTCCTAAATTATCTCTTCAGGGCCACAAAAAAATTCATCTATTGGTCACAAAATGGCCCACGCTCCCCACTTTGAACACCCTTGCTGTAAAATCCTGACACCTTCTCAGAGGTTAATCTAAAAGTCACAGTTTTAAAGAACATAAATGTGGGCTAATTTGTACTAAAACCTTATTAAGGTGAAGAGTTAAAGCAGTATTTACACAGATTAATGAACTGGAATTTGAAACATAAAATAGTTGCGTTACAGCAGTGTTGAAATGTTTTCCTGGTGATGGGTCCACATGATGATTAGTTCATAACACCTGGAATGTGACACCTGAGACGTTTTTAAGGCTTTGACGTCATCAGGTAAAGAAAACCGGACAGTTTGGTGCCATGATGCCAAACGAGGAGGGGCTGCGTTCCTTCCTAGCTACGCTCTGGTTTTACCTTTCAATTAGTCACTTAATGCTGGATGTTTACCAAATTACGTCATCTGGATTTACAACCAGCAGCGCTGCAATTAAAACAAAAAATATATTTAAACAATTCGATCTGTTGTTTTAGAGGTGACCTACTGATTATATTTACAGGAAAATTTGATCCAAGTTGAAGACGATTATATTTCCTGAGATCGGTGTTTAAAACTGGGTCATGTTTCTGTTGTTACCAGAAAGACTCAGGAAAAAAAGTCTAATTTTAAAAACACTGAAACATCTTGGAAATGTTAACATTACTGCCAAAAGAAAAAGAAAACAATCTATTTCGGTTAATCCCACACAATCAGCATCTTAAATGTTTCTCATTTTTTGTTTTTCTGGTAAAGAAGGAAACAAACAGTTATGTGGAGCTGGAAACCTTATTGACTGGATTCTGAAGATGTTTTGATTTACGAAACTTCTCGTAAAATTGCCCAACGTGAACTTCCTTCTTCGTAAATCCAGGTTTTGTTTTGAAAATAATCCGTGTTTGTTCAGTTTACGGGAAGAAGGCGGAGAAAACTAATAAAGGAGAAAGATAATTTTAGAGCTACATGGGATTTATTTATTGCATTTTAATTAATTGCCACTATTTTGACCAACTGCTGCTGTTTTTAATATAAACAAAGCTTCATGTGAATCACTTGAATAAATGTGACATAACAGTTTTTTACTTTGGGATCCATAAAGTATTTTTGAATTTGAAAATGTTTTTGGTTTCTGCACCTTTAAGCAACTCTACCGAAAGTAAACAAAAACATGCATTAAAGTGACCAAAGATAAGAGAATTAAAGAAATAAAACATTATGGGATAATTATTAACCTTTTTAATACAGTTGAAGATGCAAATAAATGCACTTAATTTTGTTTTTGAACTAAATCAGACTTTTATCATGTAAATGAACAGAAAATAGAAATTTAAGCTAATGCATTGAAGTAAAGAATATTTAAACAAGACTCAAAATAAACAGATTTTTATTTTTTGTGGAACAAAAAGTAAAAAGGTTTAACCCTTTCATGCATAAATTATGATCCTTTGTGTCAGGATTTTTTTTTCTTCCAATTTTTTTATTTTCTTAAGGCATAAAAAAAAGGAGGGAAAAATTTGTAAAAACATTTTTTTTTTTTTAGGTGATCAATTGTAATTTTCTCCAAATACAAAGTTATTTGAAAAATCCATCAGTAGTATCGTTCTTTATCTGATATCACAATTTTGTTTTTACCGTCTACAGTGGAAGGAGGGACCGGGTCTGTCGGCCATATTGGATTTAACAAAAATAATTTCTTGCATCAGCAGCTGATGGCCAGTAGTTGATGGTGTATTTTATGATGCATTGGTGTCCACTTCAGTGGTCTGTGTGCATTTATGACATAAAAATCCACAAGAAGCACAAGAAAATGGCTTTTAGACAGCTGTCCACTGTAGTGACCGCTATGCATGAACAGTTTAACTTTAAAGCCTCTTCACTAAACAATAAACTCTTATTGTTGAGTTTAAGACTGAAATTTGCTGCTTTTGTCGGGGAAGCTCATACATCTGTGTTATCTTCATTTAGGTTTATATTGTGATCCTTAACCCAGCAGACTGGCTCTGTTTTTTGTTTGCTTTGCGGCTCTGAACTTCTTGTGGCCGAACCCGGCCCAGTTACGTTTGTTTAAAGAGCAAATAAAAGAAGAAAGGAGACAATAAGGCCTTTCATTGAAAGTAGATCAGTTTGGTTATTGCTGTGAGCTCTGGCTGTCGCAGAGAAATAAGAGGTAAATAACTAAACAACCTGTAGCGTTGTTAGTGTTTATAAAACCAGGCTGTACATAAATAAATAAGAGAGATTTGGTTAGATTTTTTAGCTGCTGTTTTGTTTTTGGTCTTGCCGTTTTGTGGCGAAGTGATTGAGTGTTTGAACAGCCGGGTGGAGCCGCATATGGAGGTCAGATCGAAGGTCACCCCTCCTGTTTAATGTTCCATCATGACAGAAAGTCCATGTAACGACTCCAAGCTTTTAACGACGCAGCCTTAACTCTCAGTCTCAACTGGTTTTACGACCATTTTCACCCCCCATAAACTCACAGCGACCTTAAAGATGACCTATTATGCTTCCTTGAACATGTCAGGACAGGTTTATGGCCGACACAAAACACGTTCAATTCATGTTTTGCTCAAAAACATTCTTATAAGACGAGATTTTAGTTTGTTTTAGTGCCTCTTGTCACTCTAAATCCAAATAAGCTGCTGCTGGCCACGCCCGCCCGACTCAACACTTACACTCGCACATGTAAATGGCTACAACCAGATGTGCACTTTTACAACCACAAATCTTTGAAAAG